TGGCTGAAGACACTCAGAAATCAAATGGAGTCATGGTTCAAGGACCACTGTTCTGAGGTCTGTGTTGGAGTGCCCAGGAAGATTGAAATGTTCTGCCACCAGTTTTTCTGTATTCTCATTCCTAATGTCTGATTTATGTCCATTTATCCTCTGGTGCAGGGACTGGCCTGTTTAATATTGGACCATAACTCCCATTGGCCAGGATATTAAATGGTGAGGAATCGTGGGAGATGCAATCCAACAACATCTAGAGGGCCACACATTCCTCAGCGCTGATGTAAGGAACATGATCATGGGCAGGTCTACTCTGGCTGCTCCTGGAGTTTTCTGGCCCCAAATCTGCCCTGAATTCCCCTCATTACCTGGGCACTCTGGAACAATGCTGAGAAGTTGTCTACACACACGTTCTACTGTGCTGCCTGGTGCCACCATTCCAAGTCACTCTCTCTGAGGTCAAAAAGAAAGCACTCAGTGTGGATCACATAGCTGGGTTCCACACTGTGAGAGAGTGACCATGCCAGCAGTGGCAGTGCCAAGTGGCACAGTGGAACACTGTGTAAACAGTTCCCCAGCATCACACTGGAGTGTTCAGGATTTTCCAGGAAGGTCCAGAGCAAAAGGTAAGTTATTTAAAACCAGATTTGGTGCCAAGCTGGTCTTCACACATGAAGATAGTCTGCATCCGAATCAGGGCTTTAAGGGCCCTGCACCATCTGGACAGGGCGAGAGGAAACTAGTTTTAAAAACCCATATAGACATGCCCTATGTCTCTTAGTGTTGCTGTCAGGCACAGGCTCACTCACTCTTAAAGCTCAGCATATAAACCACTGCAGAAACCAACCAATGGCATTTCAACAATTCTTTGTCAGACTCTCCAATACCCTTTTTGTGGTATACAATAAATACATACTGAAGATATGGCAGACAGAAGAGGCATCACAAAGTTATGGAGATTGGAGTCACAAGAAGATTAATGGCACTACTAGATTCAACCAGTAATTCAACATTACTAGATTCAAGTCTCAGCTGTCCTTACTCTTCTTGTCAGAGATTTCACCATATTTTCTGTAAAAACTCCTCAGAATAACTGGATGAGGAAGACCTTCCAAACAGGTTGGGTCTTCATTCACACATACACACAATATCAAGGTTGGTGTATTTTTCCAAGTCCATTAAGGCGCAGCCTTCCTGGAATGCTTCTAGCATCTTGACCAAAGCAATATTTTACTCCCTCATGCCCACGTTTGAAGTCCCTGATTCTTCATCTCAGGAATCAGGCAGTGCTTCCACATCTATGAAAATATGCCAGTTCCCAGGTAGTAGTGAACGCCAGCTTCACCAAGCAATCACAGTGAACAAAAGAACCAGCTAATTTTCTTCTTCTTCAGACTCCTCCCGTCCAAATCATCCCATTCAGGATTTCAAGCCCATTTTAGACATCATCTGTTCATATACAGTCCATGCCATTGCTGCCATCAGCGTGCGCCGCAAGGCTCTTGGGACAGCACCACGGAAAAAACCAGTCAATCCATAGTCCTGTGGAAGAAAGAAGCAAGCACCATAATTATCTTAAGCATTCAAACTCTTAAGTAATTCTATTGCATATGAAGTCAAGTCAAAATTAGTTCTTTGGATGGTCAGATGTACCACATATACTAACTATAAGTTTACCGTATGTATTAATTGGTACATTTATTACATTAATTGGGTAGGTTTGGGGGCAAAATTATGGATTTTGATATGACCCTTGGACAAGTCGAGGGTAAAAGCTAGGGGCAATGTAACAAAGGGTCTAAAGGATGACACAAAAGAAAACAATACCAAAGAACTTAACATAATTCCAGAAGGCGTAACTGTTTGTGCTCACACAAAAGGCTGGATGGATGAGAGAATAAAGGGGAGCCAGTGCCTCCAGGACAGAATACACTCTTACCTTTCACTAGGAGATGCTTTCTTTTTAATAGGGCTTAAAATATAGTGCTTAAAATTTACCCATGAATAAGTCAATTCAAGTTTTTTTAGTCATTTTTTGCAGTCAAAATTTCTAGACTTGCATTTTTCCTCCTTAAGATAGTCTCCTTCTCTCACCCAAAATGTAAGGACTAACCAGTCAGGAATTAAATAGCATGACTGCATAATGTTATGTGTTAACAGCACTGAAGGCAAGATCTTCTGTATTAGTCACACAATTCATCCTAACTAAGCAATCATCACAAAGGACAACTTAAACCTACTTAGATTAATAGTTGCACTTCCTGAATAGGTACGGTAAATATCTTTATAGGTAAATATCTTTATTCTCTTTTGTCACCAAAACAGGAGCTAGAGGACAACTCTGATGCTGACCAACATTTTTGTGAAAATCATACCACTTTCATCACCACCATCACCTTCAGCTATTCCTAAGACCATGGGGTTTCCTGTCTTCAGTATATAATTAATGTGAATACAACAAATACCAAGTTAAAAGAAAGAAATAAGCAGTTTAATAGGCAGTTTCTCTGATACTGAAAGGCAAATCCTGTGCATTGTACCAGATAAACAAAGCCAGCCCATTAGTTTGTGGATGATCATAAACAGGATTTAAATGTTTTCCTTTCTGCTAACAGTGGGAACAGAATTTCAATAGACTTCTATATAGCAGAACAGAGGACAGTAACTGCATATTACATTGTGACTCCACCTATTGCCATCAGTCACAGATTCCTTCGCCTATTTATTTCAAGATTCACTATGAATTATACATAATTGTGTTCCAACTCAATAATGAATCAAAATTTTAGTTACAAAATCCTTTTTTTTCAATTCTGAAAATGCATATACACATACATCCATACAGTACAATAAGAAACTGCTTAATCACACAGTTAGATTTGGAAATCATTACATTTCATACTGCAATAACAAATGAAGCAAAAAAGAACTGTGTAAAACTGAGCTGCATGATTATCTAACAAAAGGCAACTAATCAATAGCTATGCTCTCTGATATACTGTAGGAACAGCTCACTGCAACATATTTCTGTCACCTTGAATCCATGATGCCTTGAATCCCATGCTGAGAAAGGCAGGATATAAATTAATAAATCCACTAAAAATATAGAATGAATAGTTGAACATATGTGCCATTTATTCCTTGCCCAACCTTCCAAGAAAAAGGAAGGAGGTGTTCTAATTCTAATAAATTTCTTGCAAATGTTATATCATTCTCTCATTAAATCTATTTTAGTCAAAGGACAGAGGTATAGTTTTTTACCCTTATATTCCTTCAATTTCCCATTTCTAAAAAAATGTTACCACATAATCCTTTCTGTATCATGATTATCCAATATGTTCAGTTGTTACCAGAACTGCAATTAAAACTCTGCACACCTAGACACTGTAGTTTTGCTGTCTCATGCAATTCTGTCAGTCATCTAATTATGTTCTAGCACTGCCAGCTGTAAAAGCCAAAGTACTTATCACAAAAACAATAGAAAATCTACTTGCATATAGTCCAGCATCATCAGAAATACATACTTCCCCATACTCATGTAGACAGTACTGAAACAGAGCGTAAAACACACCTTTTCAAATGCCCTTAAGCAGCTGTTGGAATTCCTGGAAAAGACAAAGTACAGTACAGAAGTCCCGCTTCCTGATTCCTGTAAGTCCTACCCAAACCAAATCTTGCTTCTGAGCTTTCCGCACAGCAGAGGGCCACTTGAAGGCTTCTAGAAGTTGTTGGGCTTTAACTCCCATCAGCAGAGGTAATAATGAGGAATGCTGAGAGTAACAATCCAACAACATCTGGAGAGCCACAAATTACCCACCTCTGCTTTAGGAAATGGTGTTCATCTCACAAGGCTAGAACAGTTGCACTCATTAGAAGAATTAGATAGAAAAGAATAAAATTTCAGATTAGGTAACTAACTAACCAATAACCCAGCCTTACCCTAAAGATTAAGGCAATTGCCTGGCCTGTCCGAAGGTATTTTTGGGATGACAGCTGCACATGGGTTTTTATAACATCAGCAGGCTGAGTAGCTAGTGATGCCAGAATCCCCGCAATGGTTCCACAGCCAAAATTCACTAGAGGTATAAGTGCTGGATCAAATTGGTCTGGAATGGAGCAAGTGAATAAACAAAAAAAAGAAAAAGAAAAACAAGAGCCATTTCAAAATTATTTTTGCTAAGATAAAAGAAGGATCATGAAGTTTCAGTATCTCATATATAAAACTTAACTGAAAATTCTAATGAAAATGTTCCCATAACGTACACTTAGCAAAAAGATTCCATGCTCCTTAGCAAATGTCATATTTACAATTTTTTTCCATACTTAAATCTAACCATATCCAGATTTCTTTATTTATAGAAAGAAAGGACAACAAAGCAGCTTTCCACCACTGTCCCATTTCTCAAGTATTCAGATTTAACTCTTTCTTCAAGCTGCACACTATTCTTCTGACCTTGTGACATGTATCTTCCTCTACTCTAAAACTTTTCTAGTCTCAGCATAAATTCCATTTTATGTGGTGTTCCAAAACAACTTGAATATTTCAGTGAACTTCTAATGAGTACTAAATGTTATGACATTATTACAGCATATACATATAATTAAGATAAGCTGTGGCTGTAAAGCCAGTTCCAATGTTATCCAACTTCACTGTGCATTATGCTATTGCTGACTCAGAATGAATTCTGTTGTACATTTCTGGACTCTTTAGTATCCCAACACTAATTTAATTAGAAGATTAAGTAAAGGAATTACTCAGCACATGAACTCACTGACTTTGCAGATGAGGAGGGGTTTTTCCCCCCCTGCAAAGTAAGGATGCAATCCTGTGGGCTTATGCACTGAATAAAGCTTGTTGATGTTGTTGTTTCTTCAAGTCATTTCTGACTTCTGGCAACCCTATCATGGCATGTTTCTTTGGGGAGGGGGGGGCGTTTGCTATTGCCACTGCCATCCTCTGAGTCAGAAAGAATGTGACTTGCCTAAGGTTACCCAGTGGGTTTACATGGCTGGCCGAGATTCGAACCCTGGTCTCCAGAATCATAGTCGAATGCTCAATCCACTAGACCACAATGGCTCTATGAATAAAGCTTATACATGAGTAAACAAGCCTAAGACAGGAGCTGAAAATTTTCTAACCTATGTGAATACAAATAAATAACAAGAATAGACATAGGGGGAAAAAGCTAGCATAAAAATATGTGTTTTAAAAACAACATTTCCAAAACCAGATATTCAGTCATGTGAAGAAATCTGTTACAGATATAGGAAACTGAAAAGATGACTGATGTCAAAAAGGTCTGAAATCTAAGACTGCAAAAATCTGCAACCCAGGATAGAAGGATCTTGGCAAATTTTCTCTAAATGAAACACCTACAAATATTGAAATGCAACCTGTCCCTTCTCCCCTCACATGCTGTTCATTCTTGGGTGATCATGTTGGTTGGGGCTGATGATGCCTTGAATCCCATGCTTTTTTTATGGTTCACTTTTTTAAAATTATGAAAGTACAGTGTTAAAACTGATATATATATATATATATATATCCAATTTCAGGATGTTAAATAAGACATTATTAATTGTAGGTTAATCATCATAATTAATGCTCTCATTTCATAAAAACAAAATGTTTCCATGTGTTTCTAAGATCACCTAGTATTTCTAAAATGCATACCATCTAGACCAGGGGTCGGCAACTTTTTTTGCCGACAGGACGGGGGGGGTAATGGTGCTGGGGGCCGGCGCCCCCATCCCCCCACGTCACATGCGCATGACAGCAGGGGTCCCCAGGAGGCTTCCCTCGGCAGCACCTGGCCTCTGAGAGGCCCAGCGCCGCCGCGGGGGTCCCCCAGGAGGCTTGGCCCGGCGTTGCCGCGGGGGCCCCCCAGGAGGCTGCGTCGGGCCTCCAGGGCTGCAAAAGGCAGCGGCGACGGCAGGACTGGGCAGGAGCCAGTCCGAAGGCCTCCGTAAGCCGCACCCGGCCCACGGGCCGTAGGTTGCCGACCCCTGATCTAGACCATACCTCTGACAGCATGCATTAGATAACTGAATTGTTTTCTGTAACTTGTAAGATATAAACTGCTACAAAAATAAAACCTATAAAATTCCCTTTAAGAACAGGCCTCATCTTGATCCTATTTTTTTAAATTTGTACTTTATCTAAACCAGAAATGAGGAACATATGGGCTTCCAGATGTTATTGAGCTCCAAGTCCCATCAGCCCCAACCAGCATGGCTAAAGGTCAAGCATGATAGAATCTATTTGGAGGGCCAAAGGTTCCCCATCACTGAACTAAACTCAGCAATTCAAATTACAGGGAACTGTGAAGACAACATTGCACCTGCCCTTACCATATGGTGCAGTCTTTTTGGTCTGCATGTAGAACATCAGATAGATTCCGGAGAAAGGTGCATCACGTAGGAGCGTTGCTGTCAGGCCACTAAACAAGCCCTGAACACCTTCTGATCGATAGATATTTCTCAGGGCACCATGTATGCTTTCATAACCATACCTTCCACTCTGAAAAGCAAACACAGATTTGAAATTGCACAGCTACAACATAAGTGAGTGGGTACTTAAGACTGGAATTGTAAAGGAAATAAAAATAATCATGAATTAATTTAAAGCACAGCACTGGATTATTATTTTTTTAAAAAACTACCAGAAACTCACCTCATACCGGGTTTTCACCACAGTGATAGGCAACATACAAACAACAGCTACAGTACGTGAGGTTCCGCCCAGAAAAATAGACTCCAGCACTGAAGGGAAGCGATCCAGCAGAAAATGCTGTTTTATCATATATAGTGTACTAAAGTAAATTCCCACACCAGGAATGCATCTTGCAAAGGACTATGAAAGCAAATGTAGATATTATTAATGAGAAAGAACAAACAGGAAACATACAAGAGTTGGCAACTTAGTGTCATTTTGGATTACAATTCCCATAAACCCCAGCCAGCATGCCCAATAATCAGGGATTATGGGAATTATCCTGGATCACTGGCAGGAGCTAGTTCAGGTATACATCATCATATTTTTTTAATATAGCTTTTCTAATATATGTATCAAGGCCACAATCAAGGGTATATAGTTTTGTAGGAAATTTGAGACAATTTCTAGTAACAAAAATGAACACTTGTACATAACTATACCTGCCCTTTCTTACAGGAATAAAGGAGAAGAAGGAAGGCTAGCATTTAACTTATAACACAAGAACAGTGTAGGAAACACAGCAATCACACAATGCTAGTGAAGGGAAAGCAGTAAAGAATCCCTGCAAACAAACTTTTTAAAACATCTGGGCAGTGGAATGCCTCCTTAATCATTCCTTCAACTTTCAAATAGAACTTTCCCCCTTCCCCCTTTTCCATGCAATAGAATGTGTAACCCATTTTAGGGATGAGAGCTCCCGAAGAAACAAGTATGGGCCAAATACAGTCCTGGTACATTTCGCCCAAATGTTATTTTTGTTGAGCTAATGATGTACATGCACATCACTGAAATAGAAACCATTCACTTTCAATGGCAACAATTAGGCCTTCTTGACAAATTAAGCACATTCTGCCAAATCAAACATAAACGAATCACACTGTTATTTGGATAACTCACAGGAGAAACGCCTTTCCACAGCCCAAGAATACTTTCTGTGCGAACAACCTTAAAGAGCAGAGTTACCATCCCAACACGGCCTGACCTGGAATAAAAAAACAGATCTATTATTCAAGACAAATGGGTAATTCAAAAACCCAAATCCAGGATATGCACCACAGCCCCATTCTTTTAATCCTCCTTTCGCTAAATCCCTGTAGGAACAAGTTCATAGAATAGATCTACCACTCTGGCATTTGTTACATTATAGTTCATGATCCTGAGAATCACTGCTGTGTCAATGAGAATGGCTAAAAGCATAAGCCCAATTTTTATGCCTCCCTCGTTGGGCACAGATGTATGATTTGGATTCCCCCCTTCCTAAAAATTACTTTGTGGACAAAAGGAGAATCATACTGGATCAGACCAAAGACATTCAGTATATACAGTGGCCAACCAGTCACTTACAGAAGCCTGGCAGCAGGACATGAGTGATCCAGAGGTGGAATGTAGATTGCACCTCCCATCTCATGTTCCTCAGCAGCTGATAATACAGAACACAAGACATACGGCCTCTGACACTGGGGACAACACATAGCCATTCTGACTAGTAATCAGTGATAGTCTGTATGTTCAATGAATTCTTTTGACCTCCCTCCTGCATACTAAAGCCAGACAAGGTGGCAACCATCATTACACCTAGTGAATTCTACACTACAACTATGGGTTGTGTAGAGGAGTACTTTCTTTCATTCATCCCAAATCTCCTATCACTGAGCTTCAGTGAGTTCTAGTAATGAGAGGAGAACAAGCACTTCTCCCTTCCTGCTTTTTCCACAAGAAGGATAAGTTTATGTACCTCTATCATAGCTCCCCTTACTCATCATTTCTCCAAATAAATACTCCAACCATTGCAAACTTTCTTCAGAGAAAGTCAAT